GACCGATGGACCGACTAACAACAGAGCTCATGACCGATGGACAGACAGAGGGACAGAGAGAAAGAGACGGACATTCAGCGTTAAATGACAACATATGCGCCAGAGAGATCCCTTAAAGACAATCTGGACCATTGAAGAGAAAAAAAACAATTGTTACTAGTCATCTCTCTTCAAGTTTGGTTCTCAGTGTCTGCATTAGTTGAAATGTTTAAATCCATGGTGGTAGTAGCGCTACTGTGAAAGGATGAGCCGGGTAAGAAAAGATTGTTGGACTGGCACACCCCCCGCGCTTTCACACACTGACGTTCTGCACCGACGAAGGTTGACAAATTCAATTCAGAAGGCGAGGTGATACGCCTCGCCCAATTCCCACCATAGCTGAGGAGAAGCAAGGTAGACGGTCTTCTATCCTAACATGTGCATCACAAAGAGGTTTGCGGGGAGTATCATGAACAAACCCAAAACAGTGTGTAGGCTGCGAGGGTTTTCTCTCATTCAGGCACAATGCTCACATGATCTCCTTCTGGACACAGCTTGGGCGTCAGTAACGACACGCATAGAAGCAACCCGAACATCAAGGCGGATTATTCTACAGACTTCTGAACTGTGAAGGACAGCCACACTTCATTATCCCCCACCTTGCAAGTTACAATTAAGCGACGAATCGATTGAAGATTTCAGGAGCTTGCAGAACCAGAAGTCAGCCTTTGCGACGAGAAGAGGAAGGAAGCCGCATCAAGAAAGGCGGTAGAGTGTTTCGTCTCGCGAACTCTACCCAACATGCAACACTATCTCCTTTTGCCTCCGGTCCTTCACCCCACCCTCCCTCCCTAATTGATCGAACTCTGATACCATCCCACCCTCTTCCACCGCCCTACCCCCCGCACGGAAATCTCCCGTTTGATTGTCACCTGCTCCCTTCCTCCTCCCAACTTGCGTCCTCTCATACTCCCTCATCTCCCCCTCTCCGCCATCCCCTAAACATCTTGCAACATCGATAGGAGTTCCCTCCCTCTCCCCCTGACCCCCCTCATTCTCGTTACACCCATCTGCTTACATACCCCCAGATGATATCCACCCCCCCCCAACAGCGTGAGCGGAGGAGTCCTAGCGTGAACAGAATGCTCTCCTCTTCCTAACAACTCCTCGCTCTTTCTCCAATCTACCCACAGCAGCTCGGTCCTAGTACGCGTGCCCTGGTAAAGTACGGCCCTAGACATAATCAAGTCGCCTTGCTGCTCCATCACTGGCGCCATAGTCGTTTGATTAGGTGTAACTGGCAGTTGCCCCAGCTCCCTTCTCCATCCAATTTTCTCTCCCCACCGCTTCATTGCCCCATTACCCTTCTCAAGTATACCAACATTGGTCAATCCTGAGCCCATCATACTGCACCTCAAACGCACATCCCACCCTCCATACACCCTGACCGTCCACTGAAACAATCTTGATTCTTCCACTGTCACATCGTCCTTTCTTACTCTGCACTCACCTATTGTGTATACCACTAACAGATCATCCATATCGATGCGAATCTCGATGCTCACCAATTTCACCCGTCTCCCATTCGGCTTTGCTTCCACAGCTTCTCCCCAGAGAGGCCGTGATCCTGCAGAAGATCACACTTTCCCCCAACACAGATTTCAATTTCCGCCTACTGAAGGAGGACTTGCCAGCAGCCACGGTATGACGGAGGGGGAAAAACTTGGAAACCGGATGACTGGGGACTCCTGATCACTGCTCAGTCACTACACATCTTTCTCTTCATTAAAAGAATAGTGGAAGGAAACTATCTAGCGAAATTCATCTCATAGTATTTATACCCAATTAGTAACGGAGATCTTCGGGAGTGGACAAGAAACTGACCTTGAGACTCAATTCATGGAGGCGTTCGCCCTGAGGAAAGTAAGGGTGTTAATTTGTTAAAGCTAAGACATGGAAGATCCATGAACCCTTCAAGGCAATCCAGGAACTTGAATATGACCACAAGAAATGGTGCTGGGAATAAGACGAACCAAAAACCGGTCTTCAAATCTCAGAGTATTCAGTTAAGTTCGGATACAACCTTGGACTTCGGGTTCACCAGCGGAGATAATTTGCTTGGGCCTCCTGGCAGATAACAGCCCACGCCAGGTGTTAGGAACCGGGGTACTGCTCCCCGCATAGAGCAGAGCGGAATAGGAGGCTCTAGTTCAGTTGGTCATTAACCCTGGCTGCTTTGCTGGGCTTGTGGTAGGACACAAATATGGGTAGCTAGCGTGAGACATATCAAGAGAAGAAAATAAGGTAGTAAAAAAAACACAACTGTCCCCCATATGAGGAGAAGACAGCTGTATTTAAAAGACAGAAAAAAAAACAAAAAAACTAGGCCTAACAACTAAGGACCCGGCCCCTATCATGCCGGAAACATTGACAACTTTGTTACAGTTAGACCCCAACACTCCAATTGAAATCCCTAGGAAGGAATATATTAAGATTAGACCAGTACAGTTACACAGTTTCCAATGGTTGTTAGCATACACAGCCTCCCAGTGAATAAATGGCTCCACAGGCACAGGAAGCAGACGGACCCAAACAACTTGCCTTTGTGCAAAATGTGCCCAGACAACAAGGAAGAAGATATAATTCACTACCTGATAAAATGCCCAGCTGCCATCTGGATCTAGTCAACAGTAGTGAAGCTGTGATTCGCCCTCCCCACATCCTTGCTAACCACCCTCCTGGCCATCCGAATCCCTTCTTACCTAAAGGGCCCCACAAGGACATGGTTACTCTTGGTGAGGAAGGTCGCTCTCTGGATCATCTGGAAACCAAGGTGTTCCGTGGCGATTGAACAGACAAGGACCAGACCTGGGTATCCCTCATCCAATGGTGGAGACGGAAATCACAAGCAGATAGAAGAAGATGAAGAGCACAAGATGTCCCAGATCGGTGAAGGCGGAGTTCAGGAAAAGGGTCTTCCTGGGAAATTGGCTGTTGAATGCGAAGGTGGCCACAAACGAAGAAGGCAGAATGCGGTAGAAGAAATGGGACCCAGTGTGAGGAACAGTTAGGCTGCCTGCCAGCGAAGATCGCAGGATGCAACAGGCTTGGCCTAAGCCAAGCTTGACTGTAGGTGGCAAGCTGACAGTTAATCCTCCTATTTGGGAGCAAGCAATGCTGTTCATGCCGAACTTCACGGGTCCTTACCCCACTTTTCGGCCCTGAGTAACCATGAATGATCCTGAAATTAGGGTTTCGGGGTCAAATTTTGTGTTTTTTTGGATTTTTTTTTTTTKGCTGTTTTTTTTTTGGACAAGCTTGCTGTGTGCCAAATTTGGTGTCATTAGGGTTATTAGAATTTGTGCCGTTGATCATCCCGAAAATCTTGAAATCTCGATGAAGTTTTTTTTGGCAAAATTGCCTGAAAATGCACTTTTGAGGTGCTGTTTTATGTGTTTATAATTTTTTTTTTTCTGTTTTTTTTTATAATATGTCAGTAAGAAGTGCACTCTATACATTGGTGTGGAGTTTGCTTGAAATGGCCTTATGGTTTTCTTATAAACTGAGGTGAAAAATGGGGGGTTGGTTAACCGGCTCTCGTTCCACCAAATAAGAGCACAGCAAAAGCTCATAAGTGACAATGTTGGAATAGTCTCATCATCATCAACAAAGAACCAATGTCGATTTCCTATCTGGCGCTCTGCACCCAGACTACAAATGGCAGATCCTATCTAGCCTATCTACAATGCCGCTGGTGACGTCAACAGCTCCCCGAAGTATGAGCAGATCTCGGCCAATGCCGTTCGCCTCAAGCACCAGGTATGTCTCTCACATCACTCACAACCTCGATCCCTCACACAGATGCCACGTGCACCCAAGGACCACCATGCGCCCCATCCAGCACCTCGCAGGCCAGCTCGGCTATGGCTGCCTGCGTATCCCTTGCTCGCCCGTGAGCGTGTGGGTGCTTGCCTGCCAGTAGCGCAGCAGCGCTTGCGCAGCATGTAGCAAGTGCCCGAATGCCAAATGCAGAGGCAGGAACTTTCCTATATGGAAATGGCCTGCCTGCTGCGTGCTGCCTGGCCGCGCTGGACCCCTGCCCAGAATCTTCCGGTAGGCCCCAAGTGGCTGAGCCCCGGTCCAGGGGAATCAGGCACAGGGCCTGGGCCGGTTACCCGTGTCCAACTGCCAGCGTCCTGTGCGCAGTCCATGCCCCGTGTCTAGCCCAGGGCCTGCCTCAGATACATTTGAGAAAGGAAGGCAGGGCCTGGGTTCTCTCAACCAACTGGCGCTGCACAACTGCCTGAATTTCCCAGTTGCGTGGTAAGCCCAAAATGGGCCTCTCGTCCTTGGTCGGGCCTGCCTTCACTTAGGGCGGCCGACATGGCTGAGAACAGGGCCCAGTAGGGCTCGTTGAGGCCTTGAGCCTCGCAAAATAAAAAAGTAGCAGTGCCAGTGTCACTGATACCTGTCACTAGACATAACATTGTTAATGCTACCAGGGGTATCTCTACAGGTAATAGTAGGAGTCAAGGTAGTTTAAACTTGCCTGCAAGAAACGTTCCAACCGGGCACTGCTGTGCTCTGGCCCTTGGCCATCATACCCATGTGGCAGCAGCATCACCAGTGCCGTTGGAGTCATCCACTTGTCTTCTCCACTTGCAATGAAGTTGTCGATTATCGATTGTGCGTTATTTGCAAAGTCGCCAAACTGCCACCGCGAACAAATGCATTTGCAAGCAAAAGAAAAGGAAGCATCGACATTCCATCAGTCGTCAAGCTAAGGATGCAGGGAAAGGACGACAAATATGTAGATAATAGATATTGAATTCCTGCAAATGTGCCTGTTGAGATTCCAGTTCTACTTGTGCTTTGGAACATCCGTCAAAATTGGAATGATGCAGCCAAGATTAGCATGGCCCCTGTGCAAGGGTGACAGAAAAACCAAAAAGTGCTCCCAATTTTGGGGAAAAAAGGAAGGGGTAGGGCCTGGGGTATATAAAAAAAGAGAAAATTTGTATTCTGCGCCATCCCTGTAATTTCTGGTATTTACAGCACACCCTTCTGATGCCACTTCAAGTTTTCGGTATGTCCGTCACATCATCTGGGCCTGAAATCTTTCCGTGTGTCCCCGGTCGCTGCCGGCTCAACTGGTCGAACTTCATCCCCAGAGCTTCTGGCCACTGGGTACCATTGTGCAAGCACTGGATACCAAGGGGCATGGTGCAAATTACATGCCCGTTTGACAGGAGCCGGCTGCAAAGTTGTGGGCATCAGAAGGGCATGCTGCAAATATAAAAAATTATCAAGGGAAGAAATCCTCAAATATTATAGGGACAAATCACAAATTTTCTGGGATAGCTCCTGGGCGCCCGGGCCACCGGTACACACCCCAAAACCTGCCCCGGTGCGCAGTCGGACAACCCCCCTGGTCGTTGTCCCGGGAACCCTGAGCACCAGCCGAGACCCTGGTAGATACCCTGGAAGCCACATGGAGGTCCTGTCCGAAGCCAGACACTTTCAGAAAGACATTTTGGGGCCGAGCATTCTCAGCTTTTGCAAATATCAGCTGTTGATCTCACGAGATCAGCGGCCGAGAATGACACTAAGCACTGAGGAAAGGGTCATGCTGTTTTGCTGGGTGCAGTAGGAATCCAATTCAAATTGGGGTCGACTGTGGCCCATGCCATCATCATTGCCATTGCGCTCTCGTCACCCAGCGTATTCCCCCAAACACAGTGCACCCTCCATCATCATGACTGTATACAGGTCACCTTTCCAGTTCAATAAGTGTGCCTGGTGTTCGAGGGAAGCCGGTAGCTATTGTCATCACCACTACGTTGTGGAGGAGCCATCCACGTGAAGACAAACACTTCTTCTTCTCCTTGTCCTCCATTATTATTCTCCACCTCTGTTCTTCATTTTCCACTCCAACGTCCTTCTCCTTCTCCTCCTGTCTCCTTCTCCAACTCTGCTCAACGCCACGTCACTGTCCTCTTTCTACCCCTTCGGCATCCCACCTCCTCTTCCTCTCCAGCACCACCTGTGGTTTCAATATCGATGAAAAA